AACAACAGTGCGATCCCGCCAACAGAGGAGGAGCTAGAAGAAGAAGACGACGAATATTATGACGATATCTTCGAAGAGGAACTCGATGAAGAGGATTTTAGATCGTCGAATCCTAATGATTTTACGAAATCATACAACCGCCAGCGCCGCTTGAACGAAGTCGCCGCAGACCCAAATGCACCGAAGTGGGCTTATCCTAAAACCAACCCCCAGAAACCCAAAGTGAACACATACGCCGCCATCGATGACCAGATCGCGTCACTAGCTCGCCATGCCTCCAAGATCAAACTGGATGATCAGCAAGCAGGGATGAAGGGCCGAGACCAGCGTATTGTCGACAAGAGTGACCGCGCGACGGCAGAACAGGTGCTTGATCCTAGAACGAGAATGATCCTGCTACAGATGATCAACAGAAACATCGTCTCTGAGATCAACGGCTGTCTGTCGACTGGCAAGGAAGCAAATGTCTATCATGCGGTCAGATTCCCGAACGAAGGCAGTGAAGACGCTGACGGTGCTGCGCCTGTTCAACGGGCAATTAAAGTCTACAAGACTAGCATCCTGGTGTTTAAAGACAGAGATAAATATGTCTCCGGGGAGTTCAGATTCCGGCAGGGATACAACAAGAGTAGCAACCGTTCGATGGTCAAGCTGTGGGCGGAAAAGGAAATGCGAAACTTGCGGAGGATCTATTCCGCTGGAATTCCCAGCCCTGAGCCCCTTTACCTCCGATTGCACGTCCTTGTTATGGGATTCCTCGGTAATTCCAAGGGTGTGCCGGCACCTCGGCTGAAGGACGTCGAGTTCGATATTCCAGACCCGGAAGCAAGATGGCGGGAGCTTTACATGGAGCTGGTGGGCTACATGCGCACGATGTATCATACCTGTCGACTAGTCCATGCCGATCTGAGCGAGTACAACATCCTCTACTACAAAGACAAGCTTCACCTTATCGATGTCAGCCAGAGTGTTGAGCATGATCATCCACGGAGTCTGGAGTTTTTGCGGATGGATATCAAAAATGTGAGCGACTTTTTCCGCCGAAAGGGCGTGAACACGCTACCGGAGCGGACCATTTATGAGTTTATCACCGCAACTGAGGGCCCTGAAATGGTGAATGGTTCAAACGAGCAGATGATCGCTGCGCTTGAGAAGCTGTTTGCCTCGAGAAGTGAACTCCCTGAAGACGAGAAGCAGAAATCTGGCGAGAACGAGGTCGACGCCGCAGTCTTCCGTCAGCAATACATACCGCAGACTCTAGAACAAGTCTACGACGCCGAACGGGACGCGGAGAAGCTGCGTAGCGGCCAGGGAGACGACCTGGTCTACCGTGATCTTCTTGCCGACAAATCTAGACCACATGTCTCTGAAGAACCCGGTAGCGAGGAAGAAAGAGAATCGGACCATAGCGGTGGCGTGTCAGTGTCAGAGGACGGCTCTGAATCGGAAGCTGAAGAAGCAGGAGAAGGAAACGCTACGGCTGCTGCCGATCCCTTCGCAAAGAAGCAACCCCGCGGAAAGAAATTCGTGGACAAGGAAGCCAAGCGGCAACACAAACACCAGGTGAAGGAGGAAAAGCGCGAGAAGCGGGCGAAGAAGATGCCCAAACACATCAAGAAGAGATTGGTGAACACTACCAAGAGGAGGTAAATATGAAGAAGGCATTGAATGGGCCGGTTTTGTCTCAATTTCGTATTTCTACATGGTTTTTTTTTTCCCTTCATCTTCGTCATCGGACCTACGAGTCATGATAATATGGCATGAAAACGAAACGGAATGAAATATGACTGACTGGACGGGGTGGGTTGGTTGCATTGTCACATAAATAGTGGTGGACATATAGGTTAGACGGATGGAATAAAAAAATTAAAGGTATTTTTTCATTATATATAACCAAGTCATGTTGAGGTCACGTCAAATGGAAGCTGTCGTAAATATACCTTTTATTTTTTTAAAAAAAATCACATGCTCTCTTCTATAAGACATACCACTCTATACTACAAATGATACCCAGGTTCTCGCCTCCCTTAGGATCTAGAATAGTATGTTGTTGACCAGAGCAAACCAAAGAGAACATAGAAATAGCCTGAGATGATATATATGGTATCGATATATCTAACACAGCTCGCTTGCCAGCTTATATATATAAATCATTAAATCATTATTTACTGAAAAAATGGGACAGGAGGGGAAAAAAAAACAAGAATTAGTAGGAGATCACGATTCCATTCTTTGCTCCCATTATAGAAAAAGAAAAACCCATCGGAGCTCTCTTTGATCTTCACATCACATCTCGAACCACTCACTTTGACAAGAGAAAGAAGAGAAAGAAAGAAGACCCAACAGGACAATATGCACAGAAAAACAACAATGCAGCGCTTACATCTGCTTGCCTGCCTAGCCTAGTCTATCAATATATTGACTGGCTAGGAAGGAAGGAGTATGCGTCTGCTATTCTTCTCTGGCTTTTCTGTCCTGAGGAGCTCTTTCTTTCTTTTGCCTTTTTTTGTGAATGGAGAGATGTGATCTGTAAGAGTATTAATATGGATTTGGCTTCGTCATTTGGGTTTGTTGGATTTTGCTGGATGGGTGGTTAGTTGCAATCTTCAGGGCTGTAGATGTAACTCATCACTGGGATGATGGAGAAGGGGGCTTGATAGATTTCTGTCCAGAACATAGGGAGGTTTGCAGATTGTGTAAATTCACCAGTCATCGTAGGCAGGCAACCCTTTTTAATATTTTCTGCTGCAATTATATTTGTAGTTCATTGTCAGTTTGCTATATCCATAGTAAGTCAAATGCTAACTGTTCAGAACAGTCGTCGGCGGGTCAACCCTGGACCAGTTCTGTCCAAACCTGAGATGAGTGACAGCCGCTCACACTAGGGCCCCTTTTGCTCGAGCTTTTAGCCGTGCGATTGCATCTTCCACAACTTGTTTCGGTAGGTCGGGGATGTAATCACCGCCATCACCGCCCTCATCCCCAATGGCTCCTTTACTCTCCTCGGAAGGCTCACCTTCGGCCTGCCCTGCTGCCCCTTCCAGCTTGTCGCCAGGCACGCGAACGAATTTGACCTTCATCGGTCCTCGCCCAACACCGGGCCAGATATCAGAGGGCAAATAGTCCCCCTGTTCTACCCTGAACGCTTCTCGTGCGTTTACATCCTCCTCGTAGAGTTGATCCAACTTGGCTCTGGCTTCCCGTAGAATCCGCTCAACCCCTTGCCGCACGTGTCTGCGCCGAGAGACCTCGAGGATGAGCCCGTCATAGGCATCCAAGAACCCGACGTAGAGAGACCGAAGGTCGTAGAGGTCCGCCATGCCCGCCCTGATTCGCTCGTGTTCCTCGTTCCATATCCGAGTGAAGGTGTGTGCCTGGGCTATGAATTCAGGTAGGCGGGTTGACGCGAGTGACGAGAGATGCTCAAAGATCTCCGTCGTGGCGTTGTAGACAGCCACCGTCGCGTCTCGCTGGGCGAGCACATTCTCTAGAATAGACTCCATTTCTGCGATCCGGTCTTGGATCTCTAGAACGACATCCTCGGCCTCTGCTGCGTCTTTATTTATGACTTCTAACATCTCTTGGTAGTCCTGCTCGGTCATTGGCTCCAGAGGATCGTTGACATTTGTGTCGCCGCCTTCCTGAATATCATTTCCGACCTGAACGCCCACATTGACGCCAGTAGGCATATCGCCCGTGATTGATCGCGCTGCGGCGCCGCCACCCTCAGTGTGCTTGACAGCAGTCACGCAACGATCAAAATGGTGGACCAGAGATTCAAGCAAGTCCGCCATCTCCTGCGCGTGCGATTCGAGGGACCGCAGCATGGTTGGGATGGATGACGGGGAGGAAAGAGCGGCATTTGACGCTCCTGGCGATGATGTTGACATTGAGGTCGATGAACGCGAGGATGCGAGCTCCATGGCTGAACGATACCGTCCAAGGGCCTGTTGCAGCGAACGAAGCTCGTCATCAAAGGCGTCACTGGAAGAATCTAGCTGGGCTTGGGCCGCCTTGGTGCGATCAATGGCCCCTTTCAGCATTGTCTCGAGCTCTTCTACACCGCGCTCGTCCACGAAATCGTGGAGGGTCTTTGGCTCCTCGCCTTCGGGACGGAATGCTGGGTGAACTACTGTTTCACGTAGTTTATCTAGCGTTTGTTTAAGACGCTCATCTGCAGCGTCCAGCTCCTTCAAAACGCTTGCAAATTCGGCACGGCCGCGATGGGAGATGTTCTCAACTTCAGCACGAACGTTGTACAACAACCGAATCTGGTTCTTCTGACCCCGTCGGAGGAAGCCTGTCCTCGCAGACACAACCACGCTCTCCTCCAGGGCTGAACGGGCTGTGTTGACAATCTCATTTGCGCGTGATACATGGTAAATAGACGAAAGTGATCTCTTGGCTGCTACTAGATGGGAGATGAGAGTGTCCAGTTGTGACTTCGGTCCTGCCGGGTCTTGCTCAGGGGCACCAGGCTGCGAAGCAGGCCTGGAGGATGACGACGATCCGGATGATGCCATTTCGCCACGACAATCCGGAAGCTGTTGCAAGAATGGTCAATTATAACATACTGACTGGCCGGGCACCAATCAGTTGCTTATCGGAAATAGCGGAGAGGACCAGCACTCACCAGGTATTAGACAGAGATAGCTTTGTAAAGTTTCAGCATCAAGCAGGACGAACTAACAGCTTCCCCACAAGACAGGGCGGAAACGCCAGTGTTACAAGCTGCAATCCTCAGTTTACCAAGCTTCAATAATGCTCGACCAGCTGCGTTTGATGGGATGGCTGACGTAATATTCTCCCAGATAACGACAGCTACGAGGTACCTTGGTGTCTTCCACAAACTCAGGCATGTCTCCACTTTGGCCGAGTCGAGCAGAGGAGCTTCTAGCTACAGAGATAGCGAGCAACCCAAATCTCTAATGATAGCATGAGCTCCACGAACAAGGTTTGCTTGCTGGACGCCAGCCAGCTGGGAATGTTGGAGAAGGCTGATGAGCAGCAGCCCAGGGAGACTGAAGTCGGCGACCTTCAGTGGAGCCGTGTGTACAAAGGCGACCGAATTCGGGCCAGAATGCAGGTTGCGAGAACAAAGAAAGAAAGTGGACTCGAGGGTTGATCGACGATTGGGGGCGTTCGAGAGGATTTTTAGCAACCAGAGTGGTGCGACCCCACGGCAAAATGGCGAGCTATCACGCGAGCGGCACGTGATTGCCTGATCGGGTTAGGCGCCGCGATCACGCCAGAGACGCCGGCGGAGGCGTCAGCGGGAGCGACAATCGCCCATCATTCCTCCGAATGACGCATCTACAGATAAACGCCGCATGCCCTCCTGACAGCGCTCACCGCCAGCTCATCCCTCTGCTACCGATGCTCTTCTATTAAATCGGCCAATTTCCCTTCTGTCTGCAAGCCAGACCTGTTCTCACTTGGGTCTGGCCTCTCCTGGGCTGTTGGGGGGCTTTCCGTCCAAGGCCCGGACATAGTAATTTTCACCGAGCCAGCCCACCATGAACGACGACAACACATCGCTACGCATCGATAGTGATGAGAATAGCCTTTCTCCCCGCAAACGAAGACGCTCCGATGACTACACCATGACTTCGTCCGTGAACGGCTCGAGGTCCCTCTTCAACAATGCCGCGGACTACTCTCAGAAGGAAGATAATCCTTCCGAGTCAGATCAATCGAATGCGAAGGCGAAATTGGCAGACGAAAACGTGGCACCCTTCCTTGCCAAGCATATTCCGAGTCAATACGCCCCTATGGGTTTACGAGCGGACAATGTGGTGGAACAGCCGCCGAGCAGCGTGAATTCGAGGTATTGTTACCGCCACCGGCCCGATCTCAAATGTCGACGGCAGGCCGATGAGCCGTCCATGGACCAGTTGCAACGAGTATGTTTTGTGCAGAGTAATCTCGTCCACTGTCGCGAATGTCTACTGACCTGTGTTCCAGGAACTGCAAGCCCTGCCACAAAGTGATCAGCAGGGAATTTCCCACGTCTGGTCTCTCTTTTCCGCCGCTCCTGCAAAACACCGAAAGCTTATGTTACAAGGGATCCTCGCGCAATGTTGTTTCCCCCAGCTCTCCTTCATCTCCGCCAGTGTCCGTGACCTTATACGAATCGATTTCCTAACAGCATTGCCACCCGAGATCTCGTTCAAGATCTTATCCTATCTCGACACCGCCTCCCTATGCAGAGCGGCGCAAGTGTCCCGCCGCTGGAGGTCTCTGGCCGACGATGACGTTGTGTGGCATCGGATGTGTGAGCAGCATATTCATCGCAAGTGCAAAAAGTGCGGGTGGGGTCTTCCGTTACTGGAACGCAAACGCCTTCGTGCAGCGAAGCCAGAAATAGAACAGCGCGCTCTTAACTGGCAACCAAGCCAGGACTCGACAGGGTCCGCTGATTCCCAATCGGATGGGTCCTCCGACTCCAAGCGAAAGTCCGAATCAGAGGGGGATAGCCGACTCGCCAAGCGTCCCTGCCTGTCTCTGTCAGAATGTCGAACGGAGAAGGATGGCAACAACAAAACAAAGGTTCGGCCTTGGAAGGATGTCTACAGGGATCGCTTCATGGTGGGGACGAATTGGAAATACGGACGTTGTTCGATCAAGGTGTTCAAAGGTCATACAAATGGTGTCATGTGTCTTCAATTCGAGGATAACATCTTAGCGACCGGCTCGTACGACGCGACAATCAAGATCTGGGACACTGACACTGGCGAGGAACTGCGGACTCTTCGGGGGCACGAGTCCGGAATTCGTTGTCTGCAATTCGACGATACGAAGCTTATCAGCGGTAGTATCGACCGCAGCTTGAAGGTCTGGAACTGGCGCACTGGAGAGTGCCTTTCCACATACACCGGACACATGGGCGGTGTAATTGGACTGCATTTCGACTCTACCCTTCTGGTTTCCGGATCGACGGACCGGACGGTAAAAATCTGGAATTTCGAGGACAAGTCCACTTTCGTCCTGCGCGGCCATACCGATTGGGTGAATGCTGTGCGTCTGGATACCCCTTCTAGGACGGTATTTTCAGCCTCGGACGACTGCACCGCCAAGCTCTGGGATCTGGATACCAAGACTTGCATCCGGACTTTCCACGGCCACGTGGGACAGGTCCAGCAGGTTGTCCCTCTTCCTAGGGAATTCGAGTTTGAAGAGCATGATGCCGAACATGATGATGACAGCTGCAGTGCGGTTTCTAGGGACGAACATGAATCAGAGTCGTTTTCGTCGAGCTCTTCGCCTTTCGGCCCAGCATTCGAGGGGGCCGTCCTGATCCTCCGAGATACTTCCTGACCAGTGCGTTAGACTCGACCATTCGACTGTGGGAGACATCGACTGGTCGTTGCTTGCGCACGTTCTTTGGCCACCTGGAGGGGGTCTGGGCGTTGTCCGCTGATACGTTGCGTATCGTCTCTGGTGCCGAAGATCGCATGGTGAAGATCTGGGATCCCAGGACTGGCAAATGCGAACGGACCTTTACTGGGCACTCTGGACCAGTGACATGCATCGGTCTGGGTGACAGTCGCTTTGCAACTGGGAGTGAAGATTGCGAGGTCCGGATGTACAGCTTCGGCAGCTCTTGAAATGATAATCAGGTCGAGTATGGCGTTTGTTATCGTTTATTCTTTTTTTTTCAGAAGTGTCTATACCCATTTCGCGATCCCGGTGTTTCTGTTCAACACGTCCGAGTTGTGAGGTTCATATCAAAAAGCGCATATCATTCGGATCTTTAGTATATTTGGAATTATTCCGGTACGAAATTGGTTGCGGGAATTGAGGGAACGGTGGATGTACAGGTGTTGGGTTGGGGGTTCTTGTATCCAGTTAGGGCAATTTCCGAAGTATTAATCTGATATATCATCCTTGGCAGCATGTTGTCGCATCCACGCTGTTAAAATTCAGCAATAGATCTACCTCACCTATCTCTCTTTGTCTATTTTCCCATCTATTCATTCCATTCCTTGCCTACCTGTGTGCTGATTGACTGAGCTCCGGCCTGATGATCGTTTGGCTGACTGTCAAGAAAGACTTGGACATATATTGCACGCCAAGTCTTGATTAGACTGCGGGCCTGCTGTTGGCCCTATCTGATCAATCAATCTGTCCATTTGTAGAGGTTGCAAACAGTACATTGCTCCGTATATACTCCGTACTGTAGGATGCATCATGCAAGTGGTCAGTTCTGATTAAGATGGGCAACGTGGCCGCCGCAGCTGCAGGCGGTTATGCAAGGGGGTTTGAACCACATGCTTGAACAGCCAACTAACAACCTATGTACCTGCGTAATGCTATGCTATGCTATGCTATGCCATGCTGATACCCACTCCGCCACAGCTATCAGGAATTACAGTATGTAGGCGACGTGACAGGCGCTTGTAGCAGCTGGATTTGCTGACCAGAACTACGTCTGTCGACTACTTGATGCAATCAGAAATTGACCTGAAAGCAATCAATCACCTTTCGAACAATGCGAGGACTGACTTGTTTTATCTGTGGTCCCACTGCACGAGTCGTACATTCCCGAGCTCTGCAAGGCACTTACCATAAAGGTAACACAAGCCTATGACGTACCTGTCAAGGCTTCTGTCATACAGGGAAAGGAAGATCATACCAACAATAGCTAGGTAACTGCTGCTGGTGGTATGCGTACAGTACATAATATGCCTACTGTACAGACTGTACGTTGACCTCCCAGCTTCAATGCCGGCCTCTTACGGCCTGTTTCCTTCTTTTGTCGTCGACTCTACAGTATAGTCTTCGGGCAATATGTGTCTTACATTTGCCCTCTGGGGTCTTGCAGGATTATTCCTATTACCTCTATCCTCGTCATCTGCTGTTCCCTACAACAACTACCGCAAGGTCACTGCTTTTCCTCCACCGCACACCACCGGCCTACAGATCCACGACCCCAGCGTGATCAAGGTAAACAACACATACTACGCATACGGCGTCGGTCCGCATATCAACATCTCCCGCGCAACGAGTCTCGACGGCCCATGGACGAACATCGGCTCCCTGCTCGGCAACAAGCTCAGCGTGATCGAGAAGGGTGACCGCTTCATGCCCTGGGCGCCAGATGTGATTGAATTTAACGGCACATTCTACTGCTACTACAGCGTTAGCACGGCGGGGTGTCGCGACAGTGCGATTGGCGTCGCTACGTCTCATTCACCGGAGCCAGGGGCGTGGATTGACCATGGCGTTATCGTGCAGTCCGGTACGGGAAAGGGATCGGACGTCAGGCCGTTCAACAGCTCGAATACGATCGACGCAAGTGTCATTCTTGTTGGAAATTCAGCATATCTCACGTTCGGCAGTTTCTGGACGGGCATCTGGCAGGTCCGTCTGAACAAGGACCTGATCTCGGCAGACTGGAAGGATCCAGCGTCCCTGGACGCCGTGCAGCTGGCTTATGAGCCTAGACCTATCGATCCAGGCGGTACGGACCCGAACCCTCTCTGCAGAGACGAGACAGGCGCGCATCCCGTCGAGGGCAGTTTCATCAGCTACCGCAAGCCGTGGTACTATCTCTGGTTCAGCCATGGGAAGTGCTGCGAGATTGATCCGAACAAGCTGCCTGATGATGGAGAGGAGTATGCTTGCCCAGAAACACTCGAATGAAGTTCATACTGAAGAAGTGACGGTAAACAGATATTCCATCCGAGTCGGACGATCCACCAGCCCACGAGGCCCGTTTATCGACAGAGCCGGAATCGATCTCGTCAAGGGAGGTGGGACGGTCGTGTACGGATCCAACGGGCATGTGTATGCACCGGGTGGGCAGGGAATTCTGCGGGATGGGGATGTCGATATTTTATACTATCATTACTGTACGTTGACCTGTGCATATCGACTGGAGAGTTCTAACGAGCGTGCAGTGAACAGATCAGTTGGTTATGCGTTCAACGTGAGTAGTACCTGTATCAACCGGCAGACGTATTTCTTAGAAAATGTCTTGCTAACACTATTGACAATATGGTTAGGACGCTCGCATGGGATACAACTTCCTCGAATACGACGCTGACGGCTGGCCGGTGGCAGTATAAAAATCATTAAAATTGGAACTTAGTACATTGCGCAGTTGTAGTCATAAAGGCCATACCAAAAACGCATTTATAGATAGATATATAGAATAGACATATAGAGCTTCTAGACCTAGATTAAGGATACCTGTATTGATAATGACAAGATAAGTTTCTATGAAATAGCATTTTATTGATTTATTTGTACCGTCTTTCTTTCCTTGTCTTTTTTTTTAAATAAAACACCAGCACCATCACTTATTTGATTCTTAATTCTATTATTCCCTTGTTAATAAATACAATACAACACAATAAACAATGCAATGCAATACAGTAGTACAGTACAGAGCAATGCAGTACAAATAACATCTAATGTGCTCGCCTTCCTTCCTTCCTTCCTTCCTTTCTTCACTCGCCTTGAATTGGTTTTTTTCCTCTTTTATTTCCTTTTTTTTGCTCGATTTTCGTACCGTGTGCTGTGATGGTGAAAATAGTAATAAAAAAATAAGATAAAAGAAAAGACGAGAAAGGAAGAAAGAAGGTAAAAGAAAAGGAAAACGACAAGAAAGAAAGAAAAGAAAAGAAAGAAACAATAAAGGACGTAAATGAATTAAATGAACAAACAAACAAACAGCATGGGA